ACGCTGTGAACGCGCTGCACCGTAGTCCCTCTCTATAATACGACTCGATTTTAGCTTTGAAAAGCTTAACATTCACGTATTCGTTTGACAGCTTTGTTTTGCCGACTGTAGACTATCGTCTAATCGTATTTTCCGTTGTGTTTTGTAATCGAAAGGGACCAATTGATTTACGAGCACCGATCGTGGACTGTTTGACACGGTATGTACTGTTAACTGTTACTCTCTCATTTGACGTTTGATTATAATTATTATCTGTATTATCTTTTTATTGTCTCACATAGAACTTCTATTGCAATTTGTTATCTTTGCATAATGTTACTGATAATGTGTTTTTGCTTTCTTATAACGATTTATCTTTAGTTTTTCAATATTGAATGTCCATGAATGTGTCGTTTTGTATGTAGATAATCCTTATTATGATTTATCGTGTGATTTGCTTATCACGAGGAAGTGTTTTCTATTGAATGAGGGGAGCCATTGTTAGCTAGTGGTTTTGCTTGTTGATTGCCGAGGTTGTGCAGTGTCAAGGCATCTTAACCAGTTTTTGCTTATTTACAATAATTATCCTCACATATATAATCAAGTTCATTGGTGTGTAATGTTATTATTTGATTACTTCTAATTTGAACTACTATGTATTACTGTTTCATTTACTATTTAACTAAATGGATATCAGTCTGCAATATATAAAAATATTAAACAATTTGAAAAATATATATACGATAAGGTCTTAAGGAAAGGCTTATTTACAATATTTAGGGTATTTTTGATGACCACCTTGGTGTAGTATCGGGCACATTGCTTTGCTTAAAAGAGGTCCCAGGTTCGATTCGCGATTGGGCTAAAATAGGAAATAAACTTTTTTGAATTGCTAGTTTCCCATAACACAGGGTATAACCTGAGGACGCTAGGGGCGGGGGGATTGCTAGTAATGCGGATTACCAGTCCCATTTTTTTTTTATAGGTGATAATGAAATAGTAACCCTACCCGCTATCGGTATACGCTGATAGGGCACCAGTGAAGGATGATAGACGAGGATGAAACAGGTCAGTTAGCCCATCGTGACGATTTCAACGAGAATTGAGGACATATTGCTAGCAATGGGGCTGTCAAACTCCATGGCTAACAATCCCCCCCCCCCCTACCAGTCCCATTGCCAGTGATATACTCTATCAGCTCCACGTGGTCCCCCTTGAAAACTATCGTGTCCAGTTCCAGGTGTATTCTTTACAGTGGCCTATCTGGGGGGGGGGGGGCAGGGATTGTTTGTAATGGGATCTAACTGTCCATTGCTAACAATACACCCTGTCAGGTCAACCTCCACGCGGTTCCCCCTGGAAACCATCGTGGTTAATCCTAGTAGAATTCGTCACGATGGACTAACTGACCTGCTTTCATGCTCATCTATCATCCCTCACTGGTGCCCCGCCAACGTATACCGATAACGCAGGCGGGGTTACCATTCCATTATCACCCATTAAAAAAATGGGCTAACTGACCTGCATTTTCATTCTTATCTATCATTTCTCATTGGTGCCCCGCCAGTTTATACCGTTAGCGTAAGCGGAATACCATTTCATTGTCATCCATTAAAAAAAACATGAGGACAATTGTGATCGTGCTGTACTTATATTTTGTTATAAAGAAAAATTAACTAAATTATAAATTTGATACATATAAATTTTATGGTTCAAAATATCAGACCAAGATAAATTTTAAACAAATCGAGAGTAACTCGGTAAATACCCCAAAAATATTACATTCCTTTTTTTAGGACAGTCGTGTAATAAAACTGCGTTATTTAATTTGTTTTAGTTTGTTTTTAATGCATGTTTTGCATACTTGTAGACATATGCAAAGAAGCAGCGACGCAATACAAATCACAACAATCAAACTAAAGGCTTAATTCTCGTAATGAAAACCGCCACGGTATCTTATCACGAACCATTTATATTACCATCCTTGAATTGTGCAGTTTAAAATATTTTCATTGAAATGCCACGGAATAGTTTTCATATATATTATAAATGCAAAAATGAGTTTGTTTATCTGTTACGTTTTCAAGTCTAAATCGCTAAATCAATTGTGATTAATTATTGTTATATAATATGTGACCCTGAAGACGTTTATAAGCTACTTTTTTTGTGACAAACTTAGAGAACGTGCCGTGAAGGAGAGGTAATTTTTGTATGAAATTTTTTATTTCCTTGTCTAGTTTGCTTTGCAAAATTATTGTTTCATCAATTCATAATTAAAATATACATATTTGTTTTTTTTAAACTACTTCTTAAAGGTGTTGGGTTTCTTTTTATAACTTGTATTTTTGTGTTTGCCTGTACCAACAACCAGAATTGTTGGACAAAATCAATATAAACGCGAGCGAAGCCATTGGTAAAAGCTAGTAGTTTATAAATAATTAATATTTTGATGTATTAAAACTTACTATAATATGAAAAAATATAATTGGAAATTTGTTAAATAGCAAATTGTCAGGTAATAGAAATTCATCAACACAAACTTGGATAGGATTTCTACGACTTTCATCGTTTGTTTTTACGAGAATCGATTCAAAGGCGTTAAAATTTATTGTTTCAGTACCTTGAGTATAAGCCGCGTCTATTTACCAGAACATTGTCAATATAACCATTATTCATATACCTTTAATATATAATATTGAACTAGGAGGGCTATAAAAATCCATTTGTTTCCATTGATTACTGACATTAAAATCGTCGAATATTTGCCGTAAAGAATTTCGGTTTTAAACTAGTTACTTTACTTAAAAATCATCCAACATTATACAATTACGATTTACGATTTTAAATAAAGCTGTATTTTTAAAAACTTATAAATTTACATAATGTAGCTGACTACAGAGATTTAAACTCTGAGTAAATTGATGTCAAAAATTTACTTGTGGGTCGAGTAAACTACTTACAAAGGTATGGAATAAAGTTTATTTCCGCTGGGGCCGCTGTCTCATTTTACATATGGTCGTATAACTTTTGAAAATTAGTGAATTTTCTTCGAAGATACTGATCTCCACGCAGTTGGCACAGTTCTTAACTAGAGACGGTTCTTCTTGTCAGGATTGAAACGAACAATTAGATATGACATTTCTATTTAAATTTAATTACGTTATGAGGCTTCTCTTGGAAGCTTGCTTAGATCTGTTCTTGTTTTCAATCTATTTCAAAAATAAGAAAGTTCTTAATTTGTTTGTACTTTTTTATGTATGTTATGATAGTTTTATATGTGTTATCTCATAAAACTTTGTCAGTTCTAAACCGATTTGGAAAAATATTTTTTTATTTGAAAGGATATATTACAGATTAGTCTTATAGGAACTTTATCAAAATCGGTTCATTAATTTAGTTTTTAAAATCAAAATAACTGGTTTTGCCATAAATAAAGTTTGCTTTTTTGTCAAACACAATTTTAATTATTTTTCGTAAGTACACTGTAGAATGTAAGCAACTCAAATATATCTGTGAATCTTAATTATTTTTATACTCTGCCATTACCAACACATGTTAATCTAGAGACATATTGATGATTAAATTGCAATAGACTTTATATGAATAGATAGCCAATTAAGAATCCCACAAACCTCTCTTTCCTTACAAAAACAGATCTCTGGTTTTCCATTTACTATTTCTTAGACATGTCAAAGATGACATAATAGTCTGTAGACGAAATAATAGTTATGAGCCTTTCATATTTTTTTCAAATAACTTTATTGACCAAAATATAATAAGGTACAAAAGGCGGACTTAATGCTAACATTCTCTACCAACCTTTGGAACGAACGCCATCGCGGTACTTCATTATTATCAAAGTAGAACTTTAATTAATAATTTTATTACGATTTTATCTTGTTTTCTTTATTTATTACTAGGTTTTACCTGGATTCGCGTGTCTAGGATATATTTACTGATCGGGGTGAAAGTAGCTTATATCCTTTTCTGTCCCATATAGTACGTGTATACTAAAATTTTATAATGATTGGTTAATCCATTAAGGTGCTAATGTAACAAACAAACTCATTATTTCATTAGCACATTATTTTGTTTGTAATTGTGTACAATATCTAAACTGGTTTTAGTTGAAAATTTGTGTTTTGCCTTATGGAATAATGTTCTTCATTGAACTGTGAGCTCTTAATGTTCCTGCGGTACATAATATACCTATTCTAATACTGATTACCTGAGTAAATATATGTATTTGTGTCTTTCTAGTGGCATTGTAGTCGTAATTATGCGTTTTGTAACATACAAATGAATGGTTTACTATCCCTCATTTAATTTTCTCGTAAGGTTAATCAATTCTCTTTATTTCGCTCTTTGTAAAATATTATTAAATTTATTATAAAAAGCAGTTTGTTACTATAGCTTCAATTAAATTTAATAAATTTATTGATGGTTTAAAAAGCTCTGAATAAAGGTTTTGTTGTCTGGATTTATTCCTTGATAAAAACTTTAAGATATTGTTATATCATGCTATAAAGTATTATAGACAGTTTTTAAAGGGCTTTTTTAAGGACTTTTCCTTCTTCAGGTATATCAGTCCTATCGTACCCTTGTAGAAACAAGTTCACTGATAATATGTCTAAATTTGAACAGTATTTTTGTCGTTATTTTAACACTAACTTTTGAATTTGAATTTTCAAATAAAATTCAAATAGTTTTTTTTTATACAAACATTCATACATACCGTTAGTGTAGCCTATGTATATATGCAATACCAGGAATGTCAAGAAAGTAATGCTGACCCTTAAAAAAAAAATCTTATTTCGCCCTATTCTGTCATCTGTGTCGTCTCGTAGTCTGTGGAAAACCTCGGCAAGAAGTTCATTTCATAACCTGATAGTTCAAGGAAACTATTCTTAATTTTAAGCATTACTGATTTTTTTTATGATTATCGCCCAATTCTAAATGTAAATTCAACTACATAGTGTTGTAACCTGAAACCGATTAAATATTAACTACATTTGTTCCAGGATCTGACCGGTCAGAACAGCAATGACTCGGGCGGCAGCGGCGGCGCGGGGCGCGCTACCACACCACACCTGAGGCCGACGCCCAGCCCTACAGGCTCCAGCGGCTCTCGATCCATGTCACCGGCTGTCGGTCAGTTTTAACTATTATTTTTTTCTTGCAAACTAATTAATAATTTATATTTACATATTGTCACCGTGTCGGTCTCAACATAGAATAGCCCACCCCTTCCATTTCCGTAGGTGTCATAAGAGTCGACTAAGAGAAGGCGATGGATGGGCATCAGCGTATCTCTTAAAACGTCTCTAAAGCCTAACTGCAGTTACCAATCTGCCGCCAAGCGTGGCAACTACTGGCAAACCTACCCAAGGAGGAGGCTTATGTTCAGCAGTGGACAGTTAAAGGCTGATATGATGATAATGATTCTTAATCTATATTATTCCACAGTTAGTCAAATGCATCATTATTTTATACTTTGTTGTTTTGCTCTATTTACACTTTTTAAACGTGTCTAGATCGTCACACAATGATTTTGTATATTAAATTATAAGATTGTGTTTCACAAAAAAAAAAAAAAAAAAAAAAAAACTATATCAATTATGGCAAAACCAGTTATTTTGATATAAAAATTTAATTACTGATAAAATTTCTATTGCAACAATCTGTAAGTATGTCTTAAAAAAAGATAATCCAAATTGGTTTACAACTAATAGAGTTATGAGTTAACAAACATGAAAAAAGTACAACCAAATTGAGATCCTCCTTCTTTTTGAAGTTGGTTAAAGTGGCCATTTTATAAAATAGATATAAATACGTTATCTCAGCCGTCAAAGTGATTACAATGCTCCGTTTGATTTACTGAATGCGCTGCATGTTTATGACGTCAAATGACGTCTCTGTTACCACTGTTATAAACACAGCTGGCCATTTTAATATTTAGAAAGTAACAAAATGTTTTAATTTCATCTTGCTAATATAATATTACTAATATGTTAAATCTGAAAGTTTGTAATTATATATATATAAATCTGCCAATGAGTTACAGTGTCATTCAATATGGTATAAGTTATGTTCTCATAATTCGTTATCATGGGATAATTTACACAGTCCATGTGAACTTCTGTATTATTATATCGGAAGTTGCACTTCTTACTGAAGTCAACGAAAACGCATCCCGTTGCGTAACAGCTGATGCGATAAGTGCGTCCACTACACGTACACGGTACCCGTTGTTTAAATTTGAACCTTATTTCGCTAAGGATAAGGGTTTAATGAATTCTTGTGTGGTTTTCGCCGGTTCCTTTGTTTGGTCACGGGCGTGTTGATCAGATTCGTTGTGCATACTCCGTCACCGGTAGACACGGGCTTTCCCGACATTGACCCACATAGAACGGGCGCCCAGAGTACGCCGTATTTTGCCCCTTTTGCGGGCGCGAACCACCCCGGCCCGCCCACCTTATGTACGAGCCGGGGTGGTCGCGGTATATAGGGCCTCGTGAAAAACTTACCCCCGCCGCACCGTCGAGGCGAACACGCAAAACAGGACTTGCCACCCCGGAGCTCGGTGCGACGCGTCACCCTTATGTGCCGGACCGTACATCGTCTCGGCGGCCTCCAAATGAAAGTCTCGAAACAATATTTGAAAAAAAAAAAACATAATCAACAACATAGTTCCTTATGTCGCATTCGCCGTTACCCGTGTGAATCGTCAACGATAATGAACCAAGGAATTCCCCGTTTATTAATCAGAAATGATGATTTAATCGTGAATGATAAAGTCGATTTACAAGTGTTATAAAGACATATTTTTTCTATAGATTATTATTTGTTTCTTTTCATTCAAATTGGCCTTGGATGAGTTCATCCACCTAGAGCCTTATATACTTACCCCTCATTCGTATACGCGTACCAAAGTCGTTGGATAAGGTTACTCACACAAACATCGGAGAGAGATTTTTAATCTTTTCTATGACTAATATTTGTTTTTTAACAATTGATATCGATAATTAAGACGCATTTTATTTGTATCAGTACTACGTAGTTGCAATTCCTTTGTAAATTTATTATTTTTATTTCGTTACAAACGTCCTTTATTGGCTGTTTGACTATATTTCTCTTCGTCCCGTATCCGTGAACGTGAATATGCTACTAATAGACAGAGAGACAACCAACTACATTTCGCATTTATAAAATTAGTGCCTTGCTAATTACAGAGACAATCGCCTCATTAACTCATACCAACTTTTTTAACTTTAATTGTTTCTAAATTCCATATTTTCGTGGAAAGCAAATATATTCACTTCCAATTATTATATGTATAACGTGCGATTTTTGTATACTTACTTTTTCATAGTAGTAAAAAAAAAATTATAAAGCTAATTATTATTATTATAATAATTATTGAAACGATAAAGTTATTTAATACGAAAAATTGCCGTCATGTCTTAGAGGCGTCATTCTATTATACGGGATTATATTAAAATCAATCTATGAAGCTTAATTTTACATATACCAAACAGCAGGTTATAGCTAAATAGAAAGCCCGCTGTTTCGTATATGTAAGATTCATAAATACTGGTTCTTGTTTGGTTGGTCCCTAAACTACATACGAGTAATAAATGTTGTAAATTTTATAATGGTAATGCAACATAAAAATGTATTCATTCCACTTTCTATTACAACTTGATAATTGTATTAGAAATGTAAAACTTTGTAAACACGTTTAGATGGTGTAAATCAAACATGCTTAAACGGCTGAACGGATTTGAATGGAATTTAGACGGACCATATCAAGATGCTTTTTATCTCATAACAATGTGGGTAGCGGCGCAAGAAACAACTAGTAGGTAATAATAATAAATATTTAATGCTCTAGTTTATTTTTATCTAATTCGTTCATTTGTGTAGCTCAAAAGATAAGTTTTATCATGACCACGGATCAGTTTTTTATACGAATTCAAAATGATAATAAGCAAAACATTTTCTTTGTTAGGTATAATAATATCTATTTTTCGCCAATGAGTCACAAGATTGTATTATAATTAAATCTACTTCTAATATTTGTAGTTTTAATGATATAAGACAATATATATACAATATAGTATTGGATTGTTGACTATTTTCCCGGAAACAATTTACTACTCATTGATAAAGACATTACGTAAGCTTCATTCATACATTATAAAAATTCCGATGTGTACATGTGAACTTGGATTCATATAATATTACATTTGGCTTACTGTTGGTGTTGTAAATGTATATGTGTATTTAAAACATCTGGACATTACTGGACAATGGGAAAATACTTCAACTGACAAGATGCCGTAGGAACAGAATTTATTTTCTGTTTATTCAATCATACCGTATAAAGTAGGCGACATGTAACATTAACGAACGGCTTTCGTTGTTTGTGCGTATCAAAAGCGACCACTTCGTTTCGATATGCCTTAAAAAGCAATTTGCCGTAAACCGGCTGTAACGAACAGCGATCGCGAAGGCGTCGTGTTTTGTTAACACCGCCGAAGTCGAAGTCGAGCGCGGCTTTCTCAAAACATCGGCTGTATAAGTCGTTGAGTGGCCGAGCGACTGCCGCCGCATTCGAATACCGGTTATATGACCGCAATACGCCGTCACCGCGCGCAGGCCTCGTCCCCGTCGAAATCACTTATTCCACTTCCAATGCTGCATGCCTTTCTCGAAAGCTGACGGCAAGGAGAATTGCCCCTGCTATGTATAGCGCCTTCATGAAATGTTTGCGGCTGCACGCCGCAATGGTGGGAGGCTAACATGACTGTATGACGTCAACCGTTCGGCTCGTCGGACTTCTTGACTCTCAACAAACACGATGTGAATATGTGAAGTGACGAGTTAGAAAATTTAAGACTAAACTACATACTAAGAAAAACATAGCCAACGATAACAAATACGTTCATTTAATAATAATAATTTATAATAGTTGACATTAATACGATTGAATGAACTAATTATATATATGTTAAAGATTTTTTGTTATATCGTTCTTATATACAAAATCTAATCTTGGAATTATTCCAATAGATACTTTTTTTGCTTAACATTTATATATGGTAAACCGGAATTTCTTTTACCTGCATTTTAAATCTGTTTTTTTTTTTATTTCTGACGGACCATAACGCAACTATTCCCATTCTTGAATTCACCGTCTATGCCACAATTTCTTATGTCTTGTGGATTTCTCGCTTGGTAATGATTCTGGTTCATCAGTTCAGACATTCGCTAAATGTGATTAAATGACTACGCTATTACAACGGGATCACAGCAATTGGACAGCAATGTTTTGGAGTGTATTTCTTATCCAAATTTTATCTGGCTCCTATCCCTGTGATTCGCTAGCCAATTTCAACTGTATGTGTCTGGTGTCTAGTCAAACTTTGAGCACCATTTGTGAAACCTGATAGAATGCACAGCTCTATTCTCTATAATTTTACTTATTAATAATAATAATGGAAGATTTTACATTGTGAACTTATGAAAACTAGTTTCAGTTATGTTTTGTTTAAAGTGTTTCTCTACTATATTACAGAACGAGATTAATTATTCACGTTTTAATACAATTTTTGTTTTATATGTTTATGTGAAGTATATCATCAAGACTTATTTTATTAAATTCTTAAACTTTTAATAATTTCTTTAGCTTTCTACCAGGTAACTATTCTTCTATCCAAAAAAGGTATATGGCCCTGTCTGGCCGACGTACGTGATGATGGTATAATCGTTAATTATATTGGGTTGTAAAAAAAGGAACAGTGATGTTCCACGAATTAAAACAATTTCATTAACAAACTCTAAGCTTTTATAAGGCGATACGTCAATCTCATTGAAAATAACAATTTATCTTTTCTTGCTCTTTTAATCATATATGTAGGGCAACTTTATTTACGACTACTCCCAAATATTTATTTACCTATATTAATTGAATTAATTGCTCCATACAAATTGAAAATTATATAAATTAATAATTCTCAGTATTCAATACTATATTAATATACTTAATATGTATGTGTACATTGACGAAGTGTTGTAGAATTTTAAACGAATTCACATGTGATGTTACGATGAAACATATTATTCATAAATATTTGCTTCAAATAATA